CACTTAACAACAGCAACAACAGATCCAGCCAGGTTGAATGCTCCTGGTAGACGTTTTTGTATTTAATAGCTTTTTATAATATCTGAATGTGTAGATGGAATGCAATGGACATAGTTATAGAGCAAGAGAATGAATCAGATGGCAAATTATTAACTATATGCAACAAGATTGAAAACTTGGTTTTGTTTGTAATTTCAGGCTAAAAAAGCAGAAGGTTAGAACGAGGGGAGGAGGTTAATCTTTAATTATATGCGTTTGTAAGTAGTTCTCATAATTGGCCTTCCTATTTGTTCCTCAAATTGAGACTTGAGGTCGAGCTGTGATTTGTTATAACCTTTGTTTGGTGTTCAGACATCAGTCTTCCATTTTGAAGAGCCAAAGACTCAGGTGAGATTAATTAAAAGGGAATTGCCCTGAATAAAGAGTTTTACTAACTTGGGCACTGGTGGAAAACAATGGGAGAAAGAAGGATAGAGGGCACTCAGGAGAGGGGAAATGAGATTCTGATTCCCTGTTAATTCTTTTGGTATATCGTTTTATAGCGTCAGTCTTACTACTCTGCCACTGAATTTTCAATGTTGTGTCACATATGGTAGAGCACACATGGTACAGTGATTAAAGCTCTCACCTGTGAACCAGAAGTTCAGTGGTTCAAACCCACTGCTTCACAGGGGGAAAAAAAAAGTGTCAATCTGCTTCCCTAAAGATTTGCAACCTTGGAAACCCTGTGGGGCAGTTCTACTCTGTCCTATAGTGTTGCTGTGAGATAGAATGGATTCCATAGCAGTGGGTTTGGTTGGTTTGGTGTCACATAAAAGCTTTTTTCCCCTCGAACATTAATTGATGTTTTTCTGCATTCATTTTCTTAGGATATTAAATTTTCAAATTAAAATTGTCCTGTGATTTCCATTGGGGATTATGAATATAATTGGAGTCTCTCATTTCATTATATACAGAGATGAACATGGATTTTATATTGGGTAGACACAGACAATAAATTTCTGTGAGATCTAGGGCAGAAGTAGAAACTTCTTTGCTTCTTTACATAGTGGAGTTGAGGGAATCAATCAAAGGCTGCATCTATGTGAAAAGAAACTTCATTTTGTGGTTAAGATAGTTTGAAAAGTTAGCCTCAGTTGTATAAAATAATATGAGGCATGGCATTTTATTTTTTATACTTGGTTTTCTTTTTATTTAAAACAAAAATTATTGTGATTTGGGTGAAAGGTTACAGAGCAAATTCACTTTCCATACAGCAATTCATATACATTTTGTCTCATGACATTGACTTCAATTTCCCACAATGCAATAGCTCTCTTTCCACCTCCTCCCCATAGTTACCTGTTCCCTGTGTCCTTCCCTCCCATGCACTCCTGTCCCCCAAGCTGTCTCCTTGTGCATACACTGCCCTTCTGTTCTCCCATGATTGATCCCTCCTAGGAGTGTATCTACCTGATGTAAATGTGCAGCCCATATACTGGTCTTTCATTTGGCTGGAAGCCACAGGAGTGAGTTCAATTCCAAACATGAAGGGCAGTTAGGGGCCATAGTCTCAGGGGTTTCACTAGGCTCTATCAGACCAGCAAACCTGGTCTTTTTATACACACA